TCCTCGCACATTTCATTGTAGTATTTTGCTTTGTCATTCCGAGCAGCCTTTTGGAATCTTCTGTTCAGCTCTTTAGTATCTTGAATTCTTCCTTGTGTTTTGGCTTCTCTACGCTCCAGTGAAATCTTCAGAGTCTCTTCTGACATCCATTTTGGTAAGGTTGTTAATAGATACAGCTTTCTTGGCTCCACAATCAACACTCTTGGCACCAGCAGTTAGGAAATCAAAAGAAGAATTGCATTAGAAAAATCTGCTGTCAGAGACCTCTCCAGAGTGCTGAGAAACAATGATGTCAGTCTAGAGACTAAGGTGTGTCTCATCCAGTCCACAGTCTTCACAATTACTTGATATGCATCAGAGAGCTTGATAATAACAAAGGATTACAGAAGAATTGATGCCTTTGAGTTGTGATGCTGGAGAAAAGTTTTGAACATACCATGGACTACTAAGAAACAAATAGGTCTGTCTTGCAGCGGGTGAAACCAAGTTTCTCCTTGGAGGTTAGAATTTTGAAGCTCTGTTTCACATAATTTGGGCACATGGCCAGGAGGGATCAGTCCTTGGAGAAGGACATCATGCTCAGAAGGTTGTAGAGACAGTGCAGGAGAGGAAGATCCCAGATAAGATGGATTGATACAGTAACTGGGGCAATGGGGGTTGGTGTGTTAGAGTCAGTGAGACTGGCTCAAGATAGGACAGGCATCAGAGTTGCTGTACATGGGGTCATTATGGGTCACAGGAGACTCAATGGCACATAAAACCAACAACTTCAATTAAACAGAGATGGAAGGCTATGATTAATTATTTTGGAGAACTGTTTTCACTGTGATTGCTTGAAGCAAAAATTTTCTGTTTTTAAAAAATATTTCTACAGTATCTACAATGTGTTCTACAGGATAAAGTGTGGAAGTCAATATACTACTAGTGTATCCCTTCCTTGTCAGGCATTTAAAGAGTCATGCTTATCGTTTCTAGGCTGGTACAACATGTTATGTTCACTTACTCAGAGGAACTAATTGAGTTACATTCATTTACCTGGAGAAAAGAACAAACAGGTGAGAATGAGGGAAAATGCCTGTCCCTAACAAACCAATTACAATGGAAATAAATCCTCAGCAAAGATCCCTCATTTAGTAGGTACTAAGGATATTCAAGAGCTCCAGAAATCTGAGGACAGAGGGAAAGAGAAAAGTATCCTTAGACGAAACGAGCTCTGATGTCATAGTCTGGAGGGCATTTTGTTACTAACCCAACAGTAGCAGATCTGGTCATCCAAATCCACCAGCAACTAAGTGCATGCCTCTGAAAGCCTGCTGGAGGAGTCAGCTCCAACAGGACAGCAGTGCAAAAGTTTTATAAGTAACAAGAACCTTGAAAAAATCATTTCCTTGTGATAGACAGAAGTCTTTTCCCCTAGAGACACCAGCATACATCAGGATAATGACCCAGTTTTCACAAACCTCCATTCCTCCTAACGAGACAAAACTTAAAGCCAAATCCAACCCTCTCCATCAAGTCTATCCTCTTGCTACCCTCTGTGGGCTTTTTAAGACTGCAAATCTTTATGCGACGGGACTATCCATTTCTCTCTCAAAGAGCAGCTATTGGATGCAAACCATGGAGAATCAGTTAGCATGCAACACATTATGTCCTATGCTACCCCTTTAACTGAAGATACTGCTGACAAATAGAGAATGTACCAAGGAGCACTTTTTATTTTACGTAACTCTTTGTCGTTTTTAAATAAGCATTCACGCTTGCGTGGTACTGAAATGATCAACGGACCCTAAAATCACTTAATAAGGTAAGAAAAGTAAAATTCATTCTCTGAATTCGAGACATGAACAACAGATAATAGAGAAGGTAAAATAAATATGGGAATCATAGCTCACTAAATATGAATTTCATTCTGATACAATTTTGTTTCAAGTCCAGCATAAATGAATTAGGCTTATGTACTTGGAAAAATGTTAGTTGCAAATATTTTTAGGTTCTTGGTTTTTTTCTGATATCATTTATTGAAAATTTAAGTGTTTTTATGATTGCATCAGATTTTAAATTCCTTCAAAGAGTAAGATTACATCTTTCATTTTGTCTTCCTGTGTTTCTCTTCAAATAACCTTTAAGTTTATTATTTATGTGATACCTTCTTGAAACTTCACAGAACTAAGATACTTTAAACATTAGTAACAAATCCACAAACATTAACTAATCCATCCAATAATTTTCATTATCACTCAGAAATCATTTGTTTCTGATGCAAAGCTTTATAATTCCTCCTTGATAAAATTGAGATATACAAGATCAGATTCCTTCCAAAAAATTGGAAGACCTTTCCCATATCAATACATTCCTTGTGAGTCCACATTTCTAGTACCTTTCCAAAATTGTTCATTGAGAGAAGTGCTACAACCGAAATGTTTTTAAAAAAACTGAAAACCATCCTTTTTTTATAGTTGAGTATATTCACAGGTATAGCCTATAATAGAACATTTTATCTATACTAGCTATCTAATTATCATATGGAGAGAGCGAAACCAAGTTTCTCCTTGTAGGCTAGGATTTTGAAGCTCCATCTCACATAATTGGGGCATGTGGCAGGAGGGACCGGTCCTTGAAGAACATCATGCTTGGAAGGGTGGAGGGACAGCACAGGAAAGGAAGACTCCCAGATAAGATGGATTGGTACAGTAACTTAGTCAGTGAGACTTGCTCAAGACAAGGCAGGCTTCAGAGCTGTTGTACACAGGGTCGCTGTGAGTCACAGGTGACTTGACAGCACATAACAACAACAAGTATTATATATCTAACAATAGTGTTGGATTGTTTACTATTGTAATATTTATGCATTTGGAAATAAGAACTAATAGTTACATAAGCTATGGGAAAGGAAAAAGACTTGACTTTCTTTTCCCATTCATTTTGACAGGTACTCACCTCCTCCAAAGGGTCCCCATATCACCCGGCGGATAGACTTCACCCAGTCTTCCATGTCATTCTGGGTACTCGCCATGAGGAGGTAGCTTTCATGATTTGCAGTCATCCGCACACGATCTCCTCCTGTGAAAGTCAGGAATACATGAGTGTGCATTCAGTTAAAGGCTCTGCTCACCAGCCTCTAGGCTAATCTCTAGGAGTTTGTCCAATGCAGATCCTACTAGTATGGAATTCTACCCGATGAGGTGGACATATTTACCATGGTCTCAGAATTGGAGTGGAAAATATGTTTTAAAAGGAAAAGACTCCGATTTCCAGGAGAAATCTGGGGAACAAATGTAATTCCCCAAACAAAGCCTGGCTTTTTGTCCTAGCAACAACCCAGAGGCCTGCATTAACTCATAATCCATCTATTTACACCAAGCTGCTGAATAGGGGGAAAAGAGCAAAAACAAAATAAGAGATGGAGAAGTTGAAATAGTGGGGTATGCAGCTGCTTGGATTTGAATTTAAAATAAGTACTGAGCCATATAAACACTATTTAAACACATTCACAGTGAGGTCAGTGGCAAACCGTTGCAGTTCTACCAAAGGGAAAAGAAACACAGAAAAAATGAGATCCTCCTCTATCTCAGTCAGAGAAGTGAAACAATTCCCCTCAGATCACTTGTTCAGAAGCACAAACAAATAAAGCTGAAGGAAGAACAAAGGTGTTCAGACACTGTAGAGAGCTAAGTCCACAACCCAGGTGGCGCTCACAACTCTAATGTGTTTTAGAAAATTCCAATGAGATCCTCATGACTCGAGGTTCATGGAATCTATTACTTTCTCCCCAAAGAATAACTCCATTAACTTGAAAACTTTTCATAACCTCTAATACCAACTTTGAAATGATAGATTTTTGAAGCAGGGGACTTAATGTCTTATGATGTTTTACAGACATTTCTATTTCTCTAAAGATTTTTTTTTCTTCATAAAACTGGGATAATGATTGAAATAGGTACTGAAACATCAATTTCCTTATATTTTATTGTATTTAAAAAGGAGCATTTTTGAAGACAAACCTCAGTGTTTGCAGCTTAGAAAAATGGAGGGTTGTTCACACAAAGAATAATTAAGAAAATAAGCTAGTACATAGCTGGATTCTAGTAATATAGTTTTATTACACCATTTTCTTAAGGTACTGAAATTATCTATCAACATTTAGCTCTCACTAAATGTTATAAACTTGCAGCTTTGAGTTGAGAAAACATTCTAGAAGTGTTTTGGTTTATATTGTTGTTTTTCTATTTGTGTTTAAGTGACACTGAGTACCTTTAAGAAGAATTGGAGTCTCTCTAAACAGATTCCATTTCACATTCCTACGCACTCAACCTAATTAACAGAGTTCTGAAAACTATAGACAACTGAGTTTGTGACTTTTTAATTTGATTCAAGTAATCTAGGTAGAATAGTATAACTATCCTAGCATTGGCAAAATTATAGAACAGAAGGTCAGAATAGTGAAAAAAAAACACTTTAAATCAACCATTTGAGCAGTTTGAATTAAGATATTGAATTTTAATACACCTGGGAAGGGCAAAAGGTGGGGCCAAGATAATAGACACTTATTAAAATGAGTGAATGGAAAGGCAATATACAAGAAACATTGTATGATAATTAATCTTACAAAAAATATGTATGGATGGCTTAATGAAAACCCAGTATGCTTTGTAAACTTGCACTGAAGTCACAGTAACAAATGGAAGAAAACAGGAATAATAATTCATACATTGCAAAGATTTTGTAAGTTAAATTGAAATTGTTATGCCTTCGACTCACTTGTGACTCACAGCAACCCTATGTACAACAGCTCTGAATACTGCTCTTTCCTGTGCCAAATTGATTGTCTCTGACACACCTACCCCATTACCCCAGTCACTGAGTCAATCTATTTCATTGAGGGTTTTCCTCTCTTGCACTGTCCCTCCACTCTCTCAAGTATGATGTTCCTAGTATGAAATCACCACCCTAATTATATAGAAGAGCTTAAAAAAATGTTTTGAATGTCTTTTTTTAATACTGGAAGAAAAAAAATATCCTGTTGTGTTTCATGTGTTAAAGATGTCCTGCATGGAGCCTATTAAAAAGATTAAATATGAAAAAAAAAAGTATGATGTTCCTCTCCAAGGACTGATCCCTCCTTGCCCAATGTATGTTAGATGAAGCTTCAGAATCCTTGCTCCAAGGAGCAGCAGTTTAAGGATGAACCTTAATCTCTTCTTCATCTATCATGGTGCTGTCAATTGGCCCAGTAGTGAGAATCTTTGTCTTCTTGATATTCAGCTCCAATACATATTGAAGACTACAGTCCTTGACCTTCTGCAGCAAGCATGTTAGGTCCTGTTCAGTTTATACAAGCAAGATTGTGTCATCTGGATAAAATAAAGTTGTTGATGAGTTTTCCTTCATTTCTTATGCCACATTCCTCCTCATAAAGCCCAGCCTCCTGAATGATCAGCTGTGCATGTAGATTGAAAAGATATGGAGACAAGATGCATCCCTGATGCACTCCCTTCCTGATTTTGAACCACACAGCACCATGATAGAACAACTGGCAGTACCATGATAGATGGAGAAGAGATTGGGGTTGTTAACTGTTACAGTTTGCTCGGCTCCACAATCAACACTCCTAACACCAGCTGTCAGGAAACCTAAAGGAGAATTGTATGGTATAATGTGCTGTCAAGGACCTTTCTAGAGTATGGAAAAGCAACGATGTCAATCTAGAGACTAAGGTGCCCCTCATTCAGGCTATGGTTTTCGCAATTACTTGCTATGCACCAGAGAGGTGAATAATGACCAAGGATGACAGAAGAATTGATGCCTTTGAGTTATGGTGCTGGAGAAGTGTCTTGATTATACCATGGACTGCCAAGAAAAGAAATAGGTCTGTCTTGGAGAAGCTGAAACCAAGTTTCTCCTTTTAGGCTAGGATTTTGAAGTTCTTTCTCACATATTTTGGGCATGTGGCCAGGAAGGAGTGACCCTTGGAGAAGGACATCTTGCTCAGAAGAATGGAGAGACAGTACAGGAGAAGAAGACCCTGAATGAGGTGGTATGATACAGTAAGTAGGGCAATGGGAGTAGGTGTGTAGGATTAAATGATACCCGCTCAGGACAGGACAGGCTTCAAAGCTGTTGTACATAGGGTTGCTATGAGTAGGGTGATTCAACAGCCAATAACAACAACAACAAGAAGGATGAACCTTTTTGTTCTCCAAGGAGTTCACTGTACATTAATTACTCTTCTCCAACACCACAGCTCAAAGGCATCAACTCTCCTTCTATCATTCCTAGTTATTGTCTATCTCTCTAATGCATAGCAAGTAATTTTGAAGACTATGGCCTGAATCAGGCTCACCTTAGTCTCTTAATCTCCAGACAGTGATCATTGTTTTTCAGTACTCTGGTGAGGTCCCTAAAAGCAGATTTTCCCAAAGAATGAAAATATTAGGACTATTATAGGTTAAAATAGATATTGTGAAAATGTTCTTTCTCATTTAACTTATACCTACCTCTCCCAATGTATAAAAGACATTAAATTAAATAGACCTCATAAATACACCTCTTAAATGCTTAGGAATTAGTCAACTGTATGCACATAAATAGCAAATGTCATCCTATTTGACACAGATCTATATATCAAAAGTATATAGTGCATACATATGGAAAAACACCACAAATTAATGTGTAGATGCAAGGCTGCATGACACATGAGTGGCAGAAATACCTAGATGACAAAAGAAAAAAAAATATTCATTTGGCATGGCACAGCACAATTTATTCTGATCCACAGTACTAATAAAAAAAGTTGAAATCAGAATATTTTAATGACTGACTTTGCCTGACGAATGCTTGGCAATTCAGACAGCAATATCCTGCTGTGTCACCCCTAGCCCAGGCAGAGGCAGCCTTAGTAAGAAGAGTTAATGACAGCTGCTGGAGTGTTCATCCCTGACAGTTGGAAAAAGGAGCGCAACTAGCCATTATCTTCTGACTTCTCATTTGATTCTTTATCTCTGTCAGCAATGCCATGTGTCTGACCCTAAAGCTCATTTAGGCTGCCAATCAAAGATATGGAATTCCATCCCTGGATTACCTAGAGATACAGATCTTGACTCCACTGTGTATTTATTAGTAACAGAGGGAAAACAATGTGGAAACTCTAAAAGCTTCTGGACAACTTGTGACTTCCAGAAACTGCCTATAAATGAACTAGATTCTTTGTACTCAGTACTGGTGGTTGCTAACTGGAGAGGTCAGCCATTCTTTCTTATACTCCTTCAGTTCTAAGAGTATGCTACTGAACCTTGAAAAGGAGCAAACGAAAACCTCTATATAATAGGGAACTCAGTAAGTGAAGTACAGGGCATGTGTTTTTAGTCTGTTTCATGAAGATCAAGTTTCACACTCTATGTTAAATATTTACAAGGGGTTTTTGTTGTTTATTTTTTAATTCGTTCTTTTGTTGTGCTTTTCCTTTAAGCATTTGTGAAGCTAAAATATTTTCAAAAGCAATAATCTAAGGTTGCTGGTATATACTGTCATATTGGAACCAAGGCATAGCCCATCCTCTGGCAGGTTTTCAGAGGCAGTAAAACACATGGGAGGAGACTGTCCATATTTCTTCTGCAGAGCAACTGGTGGATTTGAATTATCTACTTTTGGGGTTGGTAGTACAACTCCTTACTAATCAATACAAGGTAAAATTGAAATAAGTAACCTTAAGATTTAATTTTTAGAGAAATTAGGGTCAGAGGTAAGCAATCAACAATCAACTTGTTGCTATCACACTGGTTTAACCTCTTAGCAATCCTATAGTGGTTTTATTATTATTATTATTATTACTATCTGTTGAGTCAAGTATGACTCGTTGCTGTTGCTTTTATTGTTGTTGTTTTTATGTGTCATCAAGTTGCCTGTGATTCAGACCTTATGCACAATATTTCTGAACCCTGCCCTATCCTGAGTCAATCTTACTGACTCTGATACACCTACTCACATTATCCTAGTTACTGTGTCAATCCATCTCATCAGGCGTCTTCCTCCCCTAAGCTGTCTCTCCACCTTTCCATTCATGA